CTGTCTGTCTGTCTGTCTGAGAGCTGCCTCTAACTCCCAGCATCAAGACAAAGCCAGTTCTTGTTTTGTTTTGCTTTCTGTGTGATTGACGCTCGCCTGTCAAGTGATGTGCCGTTTTTTCAATCTGTTGCCGTGACGACTCAATGGAAATTTACAGCTCGGAGGCGAGTGGAGTTTGTCTTAAAGGGACAGTTCACCCTAAAAATCAATAATGCATATTTTCCCCCTCACCTGTAGAGCTGTTCATCCAGCTGGATTGTTTTGGTGTGAGTTGTGGAGTTATCGGCAGTAGAAATATCTGCTTCTCTCCAGTTTAATGTAACCAGACGGCTTGAGCAGCTCGAAGTGCCAAAATAAATATATTCAAAAAACTCAACAACAACGTCTGTTTCCACAAATAACGACCAGGTTACTCATGAACACAGACCTTGTTGTTGAGTTTCATGTAGGAACTAGATCAGTGATTCCCAACCTTTTTCCTTTTTCTACCATCGAGTAAACTGAAATATTTTATGTATATTTCATATTATATTGAATAATAACAATAACAGCAGAGATCAGCTGATAAACTGAACAATTAATACAAACAGTGAACACAATAACTGCAGGACGTTTGAAGAGATTTGGATGAATATTTTTTTAATACTCATTCATATTTAATAGACTTTGTGTTTCATTCTCCCTGATACTTGGACATTGTTCTATAAGCTGTACTTTTGTAAATAAGCTGTTTATTTGACACTGAACACTCTGTGGGTATAATATTTTAAACATAACATTTTCATTTAGTTTTCTCACATAAGCAACCAAAATACTGAGATATAGGCCTTACTGTGTATATTTTTTGACGTTTTCTTACAACCCTTAATATCAAGAAGGCGTATCCAAACAAACTATGTTATTACAGCTCCGCTCTTCTGTTTTTAGGTTTCTTGGCGTCTCTGAAGCTGCCATCCTACGAGGAGGTGGCGGCTCAGCCCTCGACCCCTCCTCCTCCCTACAGCTCAGTGTTCACCACCCCACGCTACCCACAACCCCCCCGCACCACAGACCCACACCTGCTCACGCAGCACGGCCCGCTGCTGCACCAGCCGCTCAGTGACGGTCCGTCCTCCCTCAGCTCCGACAACAGGTAACAACACTGCTAACGCTACTGGGAGTACTGGTGCTAATGCAGCTACCAGTAACACCACAAGAAACCAGTAGTCCTGGAAGGTTTGAAAATAATGTTGACATTCCTGGAAATACTCAGAATTGGGAATCCTGTAAGTAATCTACCAGTGAAATACAGTTAACTGCACTGGGAATACTTCTACTTCAGCTTCTACTCTTAGTAAGACTACTATCATTGAGACGACTACTGCTGCCACCATTGTATTACTACTGATACTCAAATCGATGATAGAAATGTGCTGAATGTTTTTATATATATTCTTTGAAGAATTCACTAGAAACTGATTGTTTTCAGGTTTAGACGAATAATGATTGTCTTTCCTGTAGCTCCAGTTGTTCCTGTGACTCCTGCTGCCCCTCCTCTCCGTGTAGCTCCTCCCTATCTGCACCTGTCACGTATGAGACTGACACAAGCCACGCCACCACGCCCAGCGAGGCGGCACCCCTCACTCTCGATGTCACCATGGAGACCATCTCTGCCGCGGCAACCTATTTGGAGGTAAACGAGACACGATTTGCTTCTGAGAGGATGGTTGCCACGGTAGCTGTTGACATCGGTGATGAAGATGCTGCTGGGGCGCAGGAACCCGTTGCCACAGACTTATCGGTTCCCAACCAGGTTGTTTCGGTGGCAGTTGTTTCCAGGGCGGTCTCCCCTCAAACTTTGCCCTCTCCCGGTTCTGATGTGGTTCTTTCTGTTGTAACTACATCTCCCATAAAGCAACAGCTCGACCTAGCACCCTGTACCCCAAAAATCACTACCTGTAGCCCAAGTACAAGCCTTAGTCTAGGTGTTGACAGAACACCCCCCTCCATCCAGAAAATAAGCATTGAGGGCCCAGCTGAAAGCCTGGAACCTACCCCTGACCCGAAAATCACCCCAGTGTCGGGCCCCACCACCCCAGCCACCCAAACCCTTGATCTAATAATAACTTTTGATACAGCCAGTGTTCCTAGCCCAACCTCAGTACCGTCCCCAGATGCTGGAAGAACTTTGGCCCTGATGACAGGCTCTTCTACTCTCCAAACACCAGACCCAAATTCTAGCCTTGTGCCAATCCTGGCACCTTCAGACATTACCCAACCTTCAATCCTAGAACCTTCAAACTGTTCCCAACCTTCAATCCTAGAACCTTCAAACTGTACCCAATCTCCAGTCCCAGAACC